TTCAGGAGCCACCGCCAGCCCTGCAAAGCCACCAACAGGGTAACGCTGCTCTGGCTGCTGCGATCAGCCCTCAGACCACTGACCACAGACCCACCTGCACTGCAGGCTGTGCTGAATGGGCCCTGCCTTGGCCCAGAGCAACCACCCCATCCCGTGTCAACCCTGTCCTGTGCCACCCCCGTCCTCTGTCACCCCAGTCCTCCTCCTGACCCCTTCCTGTCTGTGAGGGTCCTGCTGCTGCACCCACCTGGGGCCAGGGCTTTTCCAGCCAAAAAAAGAGCCTTCCTTAACCATGACCCAGCAGAGAGCACCCTCAGGCTGCTCAATTGCTGCTTTTCACTTGAGCCTCACAGGCACTAATTAGCCAGGACAAGGCTGGATTCACACCCTTCAGAAGGTGGATAAATAACCGTCACCTTCAGGGCCATGTGCTTTGCAAGCACTGGGGAACTTTCCCTGCTGTAGAAAGGCCCCAGGTTTGCTCAGATCCAGAGCATGGGGCAGCTCTGGGGCTCAGGGAGGGGTTGAGCACCCACCTCTCCCCAGTACCCATCATCTCCCAAGCACCCACCACCTCCCCTCTTCCTGCCCGCAGCTGCCGGAGCCCCTGATGCCGTTCCGGCTGTACAATGAGCTGATGGGCCTGGCCAAGGAGAGCCTGCAGGGCGGCGAGGCCAAGGGCAAGAGCGGGAAGGGAGGCCCAGAACTGGCAGACAAAGGGGCCGACACGGACAAGGTGGTGCTGAACCTGGTGCTGAAGGTGAAGGAGCTGCTGAAGGAGCTTCCCCGGGAGAACATGGCCACGCTGCAGTACCTCCTGCAGCACCTCAGGAGGTGAGGAGGGTGCGGGGGCACCATCCCCCCCTTCCCCGGAGGGCAGCCTCCCCACCAGACCCACCCCAGTGTGGGAACATCCCAGCCCTTCAAGGAAGCAGGGGGCAGATCCGGGGCTGCAGCTGCCTCCATGCCATTCACGGATCTGGAGCATCCCTGCTCACTCTCACCAGCTCCTCCTCCTCTTTGCCCCCCTCAGGATCGTGGAAGTGGAGCAGGACAACAAGATGACCTCGGGCAACCTGGGCATCGTCTTTGGGCCAACGCTGATGCGTCCGAGGCCAACAGACGCTACCATTTCCCTGTCCTCGCTGGTCGATTATCCCCACCAAGCTCGCATCATCGAGGCGCTCATCATCTTCTACTCTACCATCTTTGAGGACAAGGACAGCGCGGTGCTGGGCGATGCGGGCAAGGAGGAGGGAGGCGGCAGCTCTGGCGTGGTAGGAGTCCCTGGGGGAGGGAGCACCCTTAGGGGACGCCGGTCCGGCCAATGCCGTTGTCCTTCTCTTGGGAAACTCCACCTTTGTCACGTCCCCTCACGCATCCCGAGTGATTTTCTCCCCAAAAGAACGGTGGCAGCAGCTGAGCCGGGCAGGGCGGGAGGGTGGATCCTCCGCACTTCTACACCAGGACAAGGAGTTGTTTTTTCTCCATTTTCTGGAGCCATTTCTCAGCGAATGAGGAAGTTTCCTGCTCTTCCGTGCCCTCACCGCTGCTTCCCTTCCCCCCAGGCTGGTGCAGGCTCCACCCCCGCCACCGTTCC